GGCCAACTTGTTTGGAGCTGAATTTATCAGAACTTCCTCTCCCTGTTTCTTATCTGTGCAATGGAACTTCACTTATGTGGTTAGTCATACCTGAAACATGGAAACCACCCTTAACATTTGCATTCACTTTACTTACCACCTATATTCAAATACCAAGTCTTGAAGATTTTGCTGATCTTGAAGAACACTGATTTATCTTTGAGGGACCCTGACTTATCTTTCAAGTCATCCACCTGTGCCTTAGTTCAGAACCATATTCTCTCTCCTGAGTTACTGATATAGCTCTATACACACTTTGTTGTTTCTTGATTTACTCTCCTTCAACACTCCTTCCACACCAAAATAATCTTTCTAAAACAGACATAGGTTGTGTAATTCCCTCCTTTGAAATCCTTCAATGGCTCCACCTTGACACTGGGATAAGTCTAAATTCCAGGGCATAACAGTGGAGCTTAAGATCTTGGACACAGGACATTTCACACCTCTGTGCCTTCCCCACACATCTTGTCTGGTCAACTTATACTCTTTCTTCAGTTCTCTAACCTGCATTATCCAGTTAAAATCAGGATGCTTTGCCTAAGCTTTCTTTGAGCTTTTAATTTTCTTTTATTGCATTTACTTCCACTTGTGTTATTTGTATGATGGTCAGCTTAATATCTGTTTATACCAGGTAGTTAAAAATTCCTGGGGACAAAAATAATGTCTTATTTACTAACTATTTGGTAACTATTATGCCTCAAAGCCAACATGTTCCTAGCACGCAGTCATTGCTCAATGAATACTTATGTTCTTCACTTCTTTGATGGTGAACTCCTACTCATCCATTAAAGCTCACCCTACATATCATCTGCTCTTAGAATTAGTCTCTGACAATTGCCTGTTCCCACTCCTAATCCTATCCCCATAATGCCAAAGCTTTTCTGTTGCCTTTCTGTTAGAGCCCAGTGCATGCTGCTTCTACAGCCTTTGAATTTTGTTGAACATTATAAGCTTCTGAAAGAAATGATTTTATGTTTAAATCACAAGTTTGAAACACTGTCTCTGATACAGTGCTTCCTTGTCCCATTAGACACTGAAGCTTCATCTACAATATTGCCACCAAAGGCCATCCGGCCAAACCCTAGGAGATCATAGAGTGTTCTTAACCATCCATTTGAAAGTTCTTCTTTATTATGTTGAACCAGAAAACGATCTTCTTAGAGCTCCCAAACATTTGTTCTTAGTCCTATCCACTAGGAATACAGGATCAAGAGAGCAATAAGAAGTCAAGTGGTCACCACAAATAAGAGCCAAAAGAAGATTGTGGATTCTAAATTAGTTAACAAATGGGTCAAGAAAGGTCAAAATTCCAAACAAGCAGAGACACTTTTGCCTCTTTATGTAGTACTTACACATTTTAAAAGGCAATCTTAAAGGTTGTTTCACATTATTGGAAAATGGCTTGCCAGATAGTAAGAATCAAACCTAGATACTGGCCTCTTTGTAGAAAATCTATCAGAAAATAGTTCTTAAGAAGAAAGAAGTTGGTACAAGACTAAGATCTGACATAAACTTCTATTCTTTAAAAACTACCTTTTCTAACTGTTGTAATACCTAAACGACGAAGGCCTTCAGCGTTGAAAAAAGCACTTTATATCCCATTATTTTATGTTTAGTCAAATATCATATAGTGATTTTTAAGCTGCTTTATCACAATATTGGCTATCATTTACAATATTCAACACAATAAAGCAAAGGTATATAACTTATGTCTCTTTTAATATTTAAACTTTTTAAGTTGTGTTATTTTGGTTTTTTCCCTCTTTTCATAAAGCACCCGTTATAATCAGGGACCTTGTTATAGCTTTACTGTCACAGGATGTTTGATGAGGAGAACGTAGCATGGGACGAGCCCTTGACAAACCTCCAGTACTGAGAAGAAAGCATCTGGTTGTGGTTCTAAGGCTTGTGGTCCTAGTAAGATGAATGGGTGGTAAATATGTTTGCACACCTGGAAATATCAGATGGCTCCTTCCAGCTCCCACTTTCAAGGGAGGAAATGATATGGAGCAGCTGCTGTTTCCAGCAAGGGGAATGCAAATATCAGCAGGAGAGGAAGGAGGAAAAAAGAAAATTTTTAAATGGGAAGCAGGGTGTGGGGGAGAGGGAACACGGGGGGGGGGGGCAGTGTCCCAAACAATATATACACATGTGATTAAATGAAAAAATGATTAAAAAATAGAAAGAGGTTAAGATGCAGCCTGTGAGCTTTTGAAGGTCAACTTCAGAAGGGGAAACAAGTGTACATAAAATAATTGGTAAGGATGGAGGTGGGGAACAGAGAAAACCTAGGATCAAGAAATTGACCTGGTTTCCTGGAGAGTAGGGTGCAAAAGCACATAGAAATACATAGGGTTCAGAGAGCCCAACTTAGTCAAATGCATGTTCATTGTTCACAAAGACCACCCTATATACTGGGAAGATTAGGTCCTGAGGCCTTCCTATCACCATTACAGATACCTCAAATTATACAATGAGCACACTGCAAAGTGATACACCTTTGCTGTCAGAGGAGTAAAAAAGTGCATTTCTTGTATCTGTATAGAAAGGAGATTGGGTGAAAGGTGACAAAGATCATGCAAGGTATCCCTGACAGAAGAGGGTGTTGGAGTACCAAAGGGGTACGGAGATCAATCTAATGCAGACTTTTGAACCCTCAGCATTCATGTAAGGCATAGCATTCCTTGTGTGGAGTATGGGGAACTGTAATGAGGTGAGGAGGGTTTCAAGTGGTGGTCTCCCTTCACAGAGAGTCACAACTTGAGCAGGGTGTGGAGGACATTGGCAATTGTCAGAACAGACAATTGGTTGTTACATGCAAGGAGATTGATCAGATATGCAAGCCTATAAAGGAAAACAGAAGCCATGTTTCTCATAAGGGAGTTGCAAATATGGAATGTTAGAGCAGGAGAATGAACTTTATAATCTGGATTAGAACCAGAAACATTAGAGAAAACTCATGGTTTCTCAATATAGATACAGAATTAGAAATACGTGTGCATGTGCATATTTGTGTGTATATAATGTATAATATATATTACATACTTATATAATGTGGGTTTCCTTATCCTGTCAACTGTGATGCCCTGGAAGTGGTATCATCCCTAAAACATATATCTAGCTTCCAAATCCCATTTTCCAAATACCCTCAGCCACTAGAAGGAGCCATCTCTCTTTAGAGAAACAACAGGTATTAGAATTGAATACCTTCTGGTGCCATAATGCAAGAGAGTGCCCAAAAATGACAGGGACTCTAACAAGAATGAGGGTGTAAGCAGGGAAACAACTCCTCTTCTCCCATGTTTACTTTGAATAATGTTTGACACATCTTGAAAAGTTATTATACTACAGCTATTCTTTAAAATAAAAAAATTAGTAGCAAAATCTCAACTCGTGCCAGACAAACTCATTTTCATCAGGTACATTCCAACCTCATATAATGAGACTATGTCCTTATTTTCTGGAAAGCCACAAATACAAAAAATCCAATATCAACAATATTTCATTAGAAACACACTTTTAAAAAATAGTCGTACTTACCCCATTATATGTTATCTCTTACTATTTTCATCCCTTCCATCTTTTCCTTCATTTAAACAAGCACACATTAAACACCTATCCCATGTGAAATATTACTACTATGTGGTTAGGGGACCCTGGAGCTCCTGGAACAGCAAGTTAGTTGACATCTGAGTAGAAGTTTACCTCAATTTTTTCACACTGCTGGGCAGTGTCATAAATAATAACTTAAACCTCTCCCTACATCCAGGTTTTGTGCATGAGGAAATGAGGAGGTGAGAAGATGAAAAGATTTAGGCATCTAAATGCCAGTTACTTTTTAACCTTCCCAAGGCATTCATTGAAAACCTTTCAAACTGCACACTATCTGAAAATACATCTTACTGCTCCTCTAATCCTAGAAGCATTTTGAAGATGATAACATTGTTCCTAAATGCGTGTTGCTCGAATTAAAATAACTGTGCACGCTATGAAATTCTGACTTATCCAATTCTCTATTGCTAACCATTGAACAGTGCCTGGTATGTTTATGACTTCAATAAATACTTACTGAATAATTAAAAAAAGAGCGCCTTAAGCCAGTGAGTATAGAGTGGTGGTGGTCATTGGTGTTTTACCAGTAGTTGCTACTCAAAGTTGTTAAATCTTTTCTTTGGGGCTTCAAATGCCTTCTTGGCCTACATATTCCTCTGCCTTAAAAGATCCTGCTTAAATTCCTTTGTATAACTTTATTCAAGCTCTATCAGGAGATCAGATGACTGAAAGAAGGATAATGTGCCTCTCTGACCTCTAGGAGGAGCTGTGACTTCACTAAAACGCCTGAGGCTGGTGGAGGGAAGAGAAGAGACTGGGGGATGGGGAGGGGAGGAAGTAAGGAAGGAATAAAATGGTTGGGCATCAGAGTTTGCTCCTTGTTCTGGTTGGAAGATGGTGTGAGCACAACTTGAAGACGGAACTCCCTTCCATATTGGGCTTCACCACCTTTTATGTCATTGTCTCTGAAGACCCTTTGGCTTAGTCCCTTGGGGCGTTTTGTCCTTGTGCCTCTTCCTCTGCATATGTCTGTTCCATATCCAGGTCCAGCCTCCCACATAATGTGATGCTCTCCTCTGATGGTGGGGGTTGCAGTATATTCCTCCCACATCTGCCTCAATTCCCACTGAGGTGCTCCCTAACTGGTTAGCTGTATATCCTATGTCCTGAAGTGATGCCCAGCTGGCTTCAGAAAAGGGCTCCGGTGGACTGGGCAAGGCAGCCTCTCTGAGTTAGTCAGGATGAGGGAGAGGAAGCCTGAGTGGGCTTGTCCTGGGTCCATACAAGGCAGCAGAATAGACAACAGATTTCTGCCCAACGGGAAGGAATTTGTGTGTGAGGGGAGGAGAGGTACTACAAAACAGAAAGAGGAAGGTGAAACCCAGTTACTCATTGCAGGGCAGGAAGCTACTAGCAAGAAGGCAACTGTCTGCAGAACCTGGGGTGGGGGTGGTCTGTGCCTGAGAACCTGCTTATGCATGCTTGGTCCTGATAGCACGAAGGACAAAGAAGAAATGTGAACCTTAGCACCCTATAGCAGCACTGACTTCCCAAGCAAGCTCTTTCTCACAGCCAATACCCTAAGAGGGAGACACAAATCCCAACCTGTGTGACACTGCCATGGGTTCCAGGTTCCTCTGCTATGTGGCCCTTTGTCTCCTGGGAGCAGGTGAGTCCTGGCACAGATGCAGCATCTCTGTCCTTGCATTTTTAGGTTTTTTCATGGATCCTCATAAAACTCTCTTCCTGGCTTAGTTTAAATTTGACTTTTTATTTCCACAGATTCTGTGAAAGCTGAAATTACTCAGATACCAAAACACCTGGTCACAGAGAAGGGGACTAACAGGATGCTAACGTGTGAACAAAATCTAGGGCATAATGCTATGTATTGGTATAGACAGAGCACCAAGAAGACTGTAGAACTCATGTTTTCTTACAACTATAAAGAACTAGTTAAAAATGAAACTGTTTCAAATCGCTTCACACCTAAAAATCCAGACAATTCTCAGTTACAGCTTCGTGTAGATGCCCTGGAGCCAGAAGACTCAGCTGTGTATCTCTGTGCCAGCAGTCAAGACACAGCCTTGCAAAGTCACAACCTACCCGTGCACAAACCTTCTGGTTCTATTCAGGAAGTGATGGGAGCAACATGTCCACCCAAGCCCTGAGACAGAATTCTACAGGACGCAGACAGAAACCTCGGGCCATGGTATCACCTGTCACTTCATGGGATATTGCAATGCCAAATTCTGTGCCCAGATACCAACAGCCTGTGGCCTGGTTTTGCCTTGAACAAGACTATGCCTCAGTTGAATGTAGGATAGACATGCTCCAGTTTAAGTTGTTTCAAGTATCTTCCAATAGGCTTATGCCCCTGAGTTGTAACCCCGTTTCTGGTCACTTCTATTGGCCTCACATCTGATATGTATATTTTTAAATTTCTTGTTCTTCAAAAATCCTCTATATAATCCCAGTTCAAGCTCCATATATGTCAAACCTTTTTCATGATACCTCATCTCCTCCTTAAGTGGCTTTGTCAGTTCTCATCACTGAATACAATAGTTCTCCATCTAGTTTGGATCATTGTTCTCTCTACTTTTTTCTCTCTGCTATATGTGCAGGGTCTCACCTACTCATTGGCCTCTCTCTTCCACTGAGGCTTTCACATTTCCTTGGTTGCTTTTTTTCCCTCCTGACTCTCTAATACCAATGTTGAATCTTCACATCCTGCATTATTAGCTCTATAATGTGATGTCCTTCCACAGGTTCTTAGAGGAAAACCTCTCGACACTACTGAGCAGGAATTTATGCTTGGAGTTTTCTTTTCTAAGCCCTATACTGTCCCTCACTGCTCCTAGTAATGGTCCTCTATCTGCCACACCATCAGACAGAACTGAGGTGCAGAACTATGGGCAGAACTGAGCCCTGAGCTGTGAGGTATCAGGTAAGTGCAAGGCGGCATAGGGTCTCTCCTTTCCTCTGTAGAGGGCGCTCCAAGGATGGCAGGTATGGCAGTCCCCATTAATTCTGCTAATGTTTGCCTATGGGACCATGAGAGCTCAGCACACTCTTCCTGTTTCTGATGATCAGAGGACTATGCTGAGAGAGGCTTCATTCCTGCTCTGAACCTGCTATGGATACCTGGCTCCTATGTTTTGCTACTTTTAGTCTCCTGATTGCAGGTGGATTTTTAGCATGCTAGAAAATTTTAATCTCAGACTTCCCTAAAACCATTCTAATATTCCCTAAACTTCTTTGTCTTCCCACAGGTCACATGGAACCTGGAGTCACCCAGATTCCTAGCCATCAAGTCACAAAGATGGGTCAGATGGTGATCCTGAGTTGTGACCCCATTTCTGGTCACTTATACTTCTATTGGTACCGACAGATCTTGGGGCAGAGGATGGAGTTTCTGGTTTCCTTCTATAATGATAAACCCTCAGAGGAGTCTGAAATATTCAAGGACGGATTCTCAGTTGAAAGGACTGATGGATCATATTTCACTCTGAAGATCCATGCCACAAGGCTGGGGGACTCAGCTATGTACTTCTGTGCCAGCAGCTTTGCCACAGCCTTGCAAAAACACCTCCACCCTGTGCATAAACCTTCAAATGTCTGCCTCTCCCCAGATACCAGCACCCCTGGTTTCAACCCAGAAATCTGGTTGAGTTTCTTATTACAGCTGTCCCCAACATACAAACAAAGCTCTCTCAGGCTGGAATGGGCAGAGGCTAGTGGCTATAAACATAGGAGGATAGCTGATGAGGGAATGACCAAGTGATTTATGTTTTTTCTTTATCCCTATTTTATTTTTGTTGATTGTTTTGACTTGGTTTAGTTATCTAAGAAACATATATTTTAGCTCTTAAGGTAGATGATTACCATGTAGGTGCTCAGGAATTCCTGTGAGTGTATAAGGGATCGCTAATGAAAATCTTCAGTAAGACAATGAACTCAGTACAGGGACTAAATATCAAGGTTCTTGTCCAGCCTGTCATCAAGATCAGAAGTACCTGATGACCCTATTAACTTGCTGTGATGCATTTGGGGTAATGATTTTAGCACACATGAGAATAAGCAGAGACATTAAGAAACATTGAGTTCAATATTTAGATAGTACTTCCAGTGTTAGCAAAGGATCACCAGAATAAAATGAGCCTTGCAAGAATAGAAATCACTAGCAAAATTCAAGTAACATCCTAGAAGTAGAGTCAGGAGTGAACTCGTCATTCTCAAGTAGGCATAAGGTAACCAGATTAACTTCCTAGGTTTTAAGTGATATCCAGTATTCTTGAAGAATTAGGCCAGAGACAATGGAGGGAAGACTTCAAAAGGAAAAGAATAAATTTGTTCATGAAAAGTGAAGATGAGCTCAAGCAATATATGGAAAAAAAATAAGGTCTGGGCAGATCATATCAGTTATGGATCTCTGAAATTTTTTGCCAGCACCACTACCATTGAAAGGCATAAAATATTGATCCATTGATGTAAATTTCCATATAACTTTGCCTCATACAAAAAAATTCTGTTTTATACCAAGGAAATGAAATATTGGCTTCATGACCATGATCCACGTTTTCTCCCTTTTTTTGTACATCACTCAGAATCATCTGGCTTTATAGAATGATTAAATGATCTGCTAAAGATTTGACTGTGGTCCCAGCTCAGAGGTAGCATCTATGGGGCTAGAACAATGTTCTCTAGTATGGGCTGTGCATTGAAATAGTGACTAGGATATGGAACTGTGTACCCAATAAATGGATGCAGAGCCAAGAGGTAGAAGTAAGATTATCTATCACCCCTTTTATCATCACTTCCAGTGACCTAGTGGCACATTTGTGCTTCCTGTCCCTGAGTTTTCAGTTCTGCCAGATAAGAGCTCCTGACTCATGAGAAAGGGATGGAAGAGAAGGAGATGGATGCTTCTACCACAGGATTGAATGAGGACTCCACTGAGCCTGACCTATGCCTATGCTTTGGTTTTTAGGCTCTTCCTCCTGGGAAACAAGCAAGTAAGGGTGAAATGTTTGTTCTTAATTATCATGAGGCTGTAGATTTTCTACCCCCAATGGAAACAAGAAATGATTTAACTGGAATTCACTCAAGCATCTATTGGTGTCTCAATATCTGTTGTCAGTGATAATTTTGCAATTGCATCCATCTTAGCATGACAAAGTAAATACACCCAAAGGCTCAGAACCTCAGAACTCTAACAAGTAACTTAAATCACTGAAGTGCTGAGTGAGGTTGAAGGAAATCTTAGAATTGGTAGTGGAGGATGAAGATCAGATATCAGTTGTGGTCTTGGCTACCACTGGCAGCATCAGGCCTATAACCTATTGCTTTAAATCTCTTGTGTTTGTAAAGATTATAGCTGACCATCACTTTGAAGACCTGATTATTTGAACTTAAGAGATGCCTTTATGTACCACCCTATGTCCTCTTGGTCCTGTCTTTGATTCCATCCACAGATATGATGAACAATTCCATGCAGACATTGACCTCACTCCCTGGGGATTGCACTCAGGTGTTTGTCATAAGGAACTCTGTTGCTGTGGCATGAGCCATATTGGTGTCCTGCCTGGCAGCTATGCAGGCACGCCCACAAATGTGGAGGAGCTCATGTCCTATGGAGCAATCTCAACCACTGAAGAATGTGAACTGATGGACCAAAGCTTTGCATTAGTCCCAGACTCCCTATAAGGTTTAGGTTGATGTCCAGCCACTTACCTGTAGTGACGTCCCAATTAGCATGCTTTCCTTTGTATTTTTTGTCCTTTTCCTTCATCTAAGTTGGTATGGAGATTTTCATATGGCATATCTCCCAATTTATCTGTTCTTTAAACTTTTTTTTAAACATACATGTGGAATTTTTTAATGTTTGGTAGATTTCGGCTGCAGAATTTTCATTCAGATCTTGCCTATTGTTTCCAGTTGTCTGTTAAAATTCTCCATTTTATTATCTACTTTGTTAAATATCAGTTGTTTTCAAACCAGTGTCTGAACTTGTTTTCAAAAAACATCTGAATTTATTTGAGTCTATTTCTCATGAGTCTATTTCTCTTCTTGATTTTTGATAAGACAAACTTGTTTCCTCAAACAACTAAGTAGTTCGAGTGAGGGAAATACACGCATACACACACACACACACACACACACACACACACGAACACTTTGAGTTTCTGAATAATTTCATCTTCCTCTTGAAAGGATTAGCTTTTCTTCTGCTTATACATTGTAGCATGGTCAGGTCACCTTGATTTAGTTGATGAATTAACTGGATTGAAGGTGGGATTCAGCCTCTGTGTGTAAAGGAGGTAGCCATTTAAGTTTCAAACTTAATGTCTGGAATGTTTGTAGCAACTTTACTGAAGCGAAATATACAGAACATAATATTTACCCATTTCAAGTGTGCAATATAATATGTTTTAATAAGTTTACTGAGTTGTGTAACTATCATCACAATCTGATTCTAAAATATTTTCATCCTCCCAAAAGTTTCCTTGTGCTCATTTTCAGTAAATTCTTGCTTCTTTCCAGTCCCAAGTCCTGGGTATTTCTCTCTATTCAGTAAGTGACTGAACATAAATATTCTACGTATCTGAAAGATGGTGGATGCTCCTCTAAGCACCATACTGCCTTTTCTTTCTTCAGTCATTTAGCTAATGATACTAATTAGCAAATGGATTCAAGGGAAAGGTGGCTTGTGAGATTTACTCTTTCTTTTTGAAATTTTGATCTCTTAAGCCCTTACTGCCTTTAGTCACAAATGCCTTCAAGCATGAATCTTTATTTTGAGAAGTTTTTCTAGTTGTTTTTGATGGGAGAGTTGTTCTACAGTAATCCAAAATAATGCTGAAAGCCAGTTTCTTATTTTTAAACTTGAAGTGCATTTGAGTATGTGAGTATTTTTGGTGGAAGGAACTGAAGAGAGGTAGGAGTAGTCTCCTACCACTTGTTCTAGAAACGCCATGCTAAATCCATTGCTAACACTCCTTTCTGCAAGGTTTTACCGATTTCTGGGATTAATTTCTATTTGTGTCTACATGAAGAAACAGATCTGCAGCTTCTTCCAAAACAGGGCTAGTTAATTTTTGTCATTTTAAGTCTTTACTCTGCCAGTATTTATCATTGGGGCCTCAACTGGCACTTGGGATAGAACATTTCT